ACGGGTTATCAAATCCAAAACCCGACCCGATAGCTTAACGGCGTTCCGTTACGGTGGATGCCACGTGTCGGTCACCCTTGACGAAAGCACTTATGTGACGCGCGATTTATCGTCATGGAAGTGGACACTTTCGTGATGATAATTTTGGTAATGTCATGGAACACTTCTACGACAGCATAGGTATGACTATCTTGATTCTGTCATAAAATCGTCATGGATGTACATGCATGACAAAAAATGCGACCTACTGTGACAAACACGTATCATCATGGAAGTGTATTTTTTTGTAGTGTCTCCGCGAGCTCCCAATACACTAACAGTTTGGATATGTGATCTGAGTAGGCCTCTGGCCTTTTCACACTAACCACCACGCGGGAATAATTATGGGCACTTGGCATCATACGATTCTTTCGGAAGCTCACAAACGTCGGCAGTTGAGCGGTGCGCGCTTGGTTGGACAGTAACCGCCTGCGCTTGTATAAGGAGGTGGGTCTGCTCCAGGCCGCGTTCGCAACGTGCAGGAGTGCTTAGGACGATAGGCCCATGACCCCTTCGCACTTAGGATTTAAACTGGCATGCTGGCCTCTCTGTTGAGCCTAGGTAGGACTACGATGTGTCGATCAGCCGAGTGTTGGAAATATGCCCTAGAGGCAATAATAAATTGATTATTATCATATTTCCTTATTCATGAAATCATTTATTATCCATGCTAGAATTGTATTGATGGGAAACTCAAATACATGTGTGGATACATAGACAACACCATGTCCCTAGTAAGCCTCTAGTTGACTAGCTCGTTGATCAATAGATGGTCACGGTTTCCTGACCATGGACATTGGATGTCATTGATAACGGGATCACATCATCAGGAGAATGATGTGATGGACAAGACCCAATCCTAAGCCTAGCACAAGATCATGTAGTTCGTATGCTAAAGCTTTTCTAATGTCAAGTATCATTTCCTTAGACCATGAGATTGTGCAACTCCCGGATACCGTAGGAGTGCTTTCGGTGTGCCAAACGTCACAACGTAACTGGGTGGCTATAAAGGTACATTACAGGTATCTCCGAAAGTGTCTGTTGGGTTGGCACGAATCGAGACTGGGATTTGTCACTCCGTGTAAACGGAGAGGTATCTCTGGGCCCACTCGGTAGGACATCATCATAATGTGCACAATGTGATCAAGGAGTTGATCACGGGATGATGTGTTACGAAACGAGTAAAGAGACTTGCCGGTAACGAGATTGAACAAGGTATTGGGATACCGACGATCGAATCTCGGGCAAGTATCGTACCGCTAGACAAAGGGAATTGTATACGGGATTGATTAAGTCCTTGACATCATGGTTCATCCGATGAGATCATCGTGAAACATGTGGGAGCCAACATGGGTATCCAGATCCCGCTGATGGTTATTGACCGGAGAGTCATCTCGGTCATGTCTGCATGGTTCCCGAACCCGTAGGGTCTACACACTTAAGGTTCGGTGACGCTAGGGTTATAGAGATATTAGTATGCGGTAACCCGAAAGTTGTTCGGAGTCCCGGATGAGATCCCGGACGTCACGAGGAGTTCCGGAATGGTCCGAAGGTAAAGAACTATATATATGAAGTGCTATTTCGGCCATCGGGACAAGTTTCGGGGTCACCGGTATTGTACCGGGACCACCGGAAGGGTCCAGGGGGTCCACCAGGTGGGGCCACCTGCCCCGGGGGGGCACATGGGATGTAGGGGGTGCGCCTTGGCCTATATGGGCCAAGGGCACCAGCCCCAAGAGGCCCATGCGCCAAGAATCAAGGGAAAGGAAGAGTCCTAAAAGGGGAAGGCACCTCCGAGGTGCCTTGGGGAGGTGGGACTCCTCCCTGGCCGCACCCTTCCTTGGAGGAAGGGCCAAGGCTGCGCCTCCCCCCTCTCCCTTGGCCCTATATATAGTGGGGGGAAGGGAGGGCAACCATACCTAAGCCCTGGTGCCTCCCTCTCCCTCCCATGACACATCTCCCTCCTCCCGCAGCGCTTGGCGAAGCCCTGTTGGAATCTTGCTACTTCCACCACCACGCCGTCGTGCTGCTAGATCTCCATCAACCTCTCCTTCCCCCTTGCTGGATCAAGAAGGAGGAGACGTCGCTGCTCCGTACGTGTGTTGAACGCGGAGGTGCCGTCCGTTCGGCGCTAGGATCATCGGTGATTTGGATCACGACGAGTACGACTCCATCAACCCCGTTCTCTTGAACGCTTCCGCGCGCGATCTACAAGGGTATGTAGATCCACTCCTCCCTCGTAGCTAGATGACTCCATAGATTGATCTTGGTGACACGTAGGAAAATTTTGAATTATTGCTACGTTACCCAACATCGAGGCCGGACATGACCCGAAAAGTGTGTCCGACCAGAGTTAATTGAGCGTGTTGGGTAAGTTGGTGCATCCCTGCAGGGAAGTAATCTATTTGAATAGCCGTGTCCACGATAACGGAAGCTCGGAGTTGTATCCCGATCTACTACAACTAGAACTGGATACTTGTGACAATAAATGGATATGATAGCTCCAGGATTGCTTTCTCGCAGGGAGTTGAGGAAGGATCTCTGGGCGTTGCTATTATATACTTGTTACTATATGATATGTTACGCTACTCTCTTTTGTTGTTGCAAGATGCTGCAAGATGCTAGTCTTCGATAGGCTAGGCCTTCCCCTCTATTCTGGCAATTCTGCGGTATAGTCCACAGATACATCCCCTTTTCTTTGATACCGATGCATACTTAGCTTAGATCTGATGTAAGTCTTGCGAGTACTTTGGATGAGTACTCACGGTTGCTTTGCTACCTTTTCCCCTTTTACCCGATTGCTGCGATCAAATGACGGAGCCTAGGAGCCACTTGATCCCGTCGATGACTACTACTACATCGACAACGCCTACTACTATGTGGAGACCGACGGGTAGGAGTAGATAGGAGGCTCCCAGGCAGGAGGCCCGCGCCTTTTCGATCTAGATGTCGTTGTTTTGCTAGCCTTCTTACGAAAAACTTGTTTAATTATGTCTGTACTTAGATATTGTTACTTTCGCTGATTTATGTATTCGAGCCTTCGTGGCCCTGACTTGTAATATAAAGCTTTATGTTTGAATTTGTGTCTAGAGTTGTGTTGTGATATCTTCCCTTGAGTTTCTAATCTTGATCGTGCGTATTTACGTGTATGACTAGTGCACAATTGAGTCGGGGGTGTCACAGAAATCTCCCCCACACGGCAGCATATCTCTTCATATCCCCACTAATGCCACTTAAAGCGCAGGAGGGGGAGGGAAGGGGGAGAGGGGGGTTGAGGAGTGGTTGTTAATGCAGCACGGATCGAGGCGCAAGCCGCAATATTGATGGTACGTGCTCCGAGTGGGGCCCCAATCCCACATGTCATGTTGAGCAACGGTCAAACCTGACAGGTGGCATGGTTCGACCAGGTGGGGAGTCTTGTCCGGTCTAGGCTCGTGAAATTCAAATGTGTTGCGCAGGAATTCGGCTCGCGGAGGCCACCAACGCGGGGAGCTCTCTTGCATCGGCTGGTCATCTTCATCAACAAATTAAAACCAGAGTGGTTCGTGGACTCCGGCAGTAGGCCGACCGTTGGAGCTCGGCGACAAGTGTTCACTTTCAGGGGAGGAAGACTCTGGAAGCCTTGCCATTCAATACAAGGCGGGGCCATGGAGGACTCCCCTCTACAAACATAGCCGACTCGGTTCTTGTAACCCTAGGGGCTTTGGTATCTTGTATAAGTCGGGGTCGAGCTAGTCGATAGACAAATCAAAATCTCTAGGTAATACCTATACTTTGTACACCCCAACCGCAATATATACACAACCAAGAGTGGGGTTTTACCATGTAAGGAAGGCCTGACCCTGGGTAAATATTGTCTCGTGTTTCCCCTCTAATCTTCTCACCTCGTCGAGACACCATACCATCAGAATCTACTCTTACGGATGGTGCATTTTCCACCCGCGAAGGGAGATTTTCAGTTTCCCCGGTGATGCAATGGAACAACTTCTATTTCATGGAACTTCCAGTTCCTAAGTTTTTGTATTCATCATCGGTTTTTAGAATTCCACAAATCCAATAAAAATCCTCCAAAAAGAAGGAAATGGAAAGAAACTACAAAAACGTAAACAATTGACAATGTGTGTGCTTATTTCACAACAACGCTGCTTACTTCAAAAAAATGTCCATACACGTCCATGAGGCTGGTCATAGTGGGGAGTAACTTATACTAGTGTCATGCATATGACACTAGTCTAAGTTACTACATCCATAGTGCAAAGTATCTTAGTAGTAGTGTCATACATTGTTTTATTTATTGTCTTATAGACTCAATTTACCTCGAGAAGCGCTATGTTACAGTAACATATTATGGTACTCCAAACACCTCTCTCCTCATTAAATACTTGCCACATAAGTAGAATTGTTTTGGGGTGTGTTAAGTTACTACTTAAGTTACCCTACTATGGCTAGCCTGATGTTTCTAGAATCCAACATGTGGGCCCTGCGGGTCGGCTTAATGTGTATAAGCTGTGTGTTGCTGAACAAATGATCTTCGGGCATATACTACCGTTTATCGTAGCCGTTGCGTGGCTTAGCGAGCATAATTTCAAGTGCGTGGGAAAAGGAAAAAAAGACAAGTGTACACATCAAGGCCGATCGGGATCGCCGCCCTGTCCTTTGTCTGCGCCTAACCAACCGGACGAGCAAACAAACAAACTTCTCCCTCGCTTTCCTCTACGCTCCAAAGTCCAAACTTTGTCCTGCCTGCAACCACGCCTTAAACAACAGCAAAAGTACGCCAGCGTAGCAGCGGCGTGCGGCCATCCCAACGACGGCGGCCTCAATGTCATCGCCATCGTCCCCACCGCCGCCGCCTCGCTCGGCAGCATCGCCCGTCCTGTCGACTAGAGCCAGGCACACACAGAAAAATTCCAGTCTTCCCCATGCTTGAGGACTGAAGCAGCAGCGAGAGGAGGGACAAGATGATGGTGCCGTCGGAGGCCGAGCCGTCGTCGTCCCCGCCGCAACCCAAGCGGCTCTACCAGAGCTGGAAAGGGAACAACGTACGTACATGCTTGCTCGACTCCCCTCTTCGCCGCCTTCTCCGTGCCGTGGTCAGAGAGCTTTGGCGCGCCATGGGAGCCGTGCAGCTAAATCAGGGATTCATGAAAGCTGCAGGTTTCGTGCCCCAGGTTTTTCACCTGTGTGAGGGAGCAGAGTGTACTCACCACACATCATTCTTCGCTTCTCTGCAGGTATTCCTGTGCGGCGGACGGCTTATACTCGGGCCGGACGCAGCCTCCCTGCTGCTGTCATCGTTCCTCGTCGCCGGCCCAGCCATCGTCTTCTGCTACCAGATGCAGTCCAAGTTCTTCCGCTCCAACGGGCAACCACACATGCACCGGGCTGCGCTACTGATTGTTATCATCACAACACTAATGGTTAGTCTTCATCTTGCTGTCTGCATACCTTCCCTGGCACCTTCTTCATCAGCTCTACCATCATACCCGCAATAAACAGAATGGCCGGAGTCAACAGCGACTCCAGCCTTCAGACCTGAGGCTGAAACCAACAGGGCGGGGGTTTCAAACTTACGATTCCAGTTGCCAGTATGCATACCAGGTGCAACACTGTAGGACCCTTATGATGTTCGCCAAAAAAAATTGCAGGACCTGTTCTTCCTGTTCATGACATCGGCCAGGGACCCAGGAATAGTGCCACGGAACACAAGAGCCCCGCCGCCTGAAGCTGATGAACGGAACCTCCCTGCCACGCCATCTATGGAGTGGAGCGTCGGGGGCACCCCACGGATGAGGTTTCGCCGGACCAAGGATGTCAACGTGAATGGCTTCACGGTGAAGCTCAAGTTTTGCGAGACCTGCCTCAGGTACCGCCCGCCACGATCCTCGCACTGCTCCATCTGCAACAACTGCGTCCAGAAGTTTGATCACCACTGCCCATGGGTTGGCCAGTGCATTGGACTCGTAAGTACACATGGTTATTGCTCATTCCCTACCATTAGTCATATAGAATATCATTATGATAAGCATCTAGCAGAGCAAAAAAAAACTAACCTTTCTTGATTGAACTTTATCTTCAGTAAGAGCCAGGAAGAGAAAAGGTCAAACAATCTTTCCGAGTAAAAGTCTAGACCTAGCCTAACTCCCTTTAATCACCTCTTAGTTTTCTTTCAGTGCAAAGTTAAGGTATATCTAAAGCTATGTAGTTTACAAAAGATATTTACATTTGGGCTTGTAACAGTACTACAGAACTTTTCTTAACCAATTAAGTTGAATGAGAACATACAGCTAGTGGCAGCAAGTCGTTAGTGTATTCCATTATCTGACTAGATTTGCAGGTAAGGTTACCGAACAAGCAAACTGATTTGTGAACTAAGTCCTGAACTATACCTAACCTATATCCCACTAGTTGACTTTCAAGGCCTCAATTGCAGTTGGCCCATCATAATCACAACGTTTTTTATTTGCCTTGCAGAGAAACTATCGCTACTTCTTTCTATTCATCGCCACATCGACATTCCTGTGCATATCCGTCTTAATCTTTTCATGGTTGAATGTCCACGGCGAAATGCAAGACAACGGCGGCTCTATCTGGAAGGCCTTGCGCAAGGAAGTCTACTCTTTTGTGCTAATCATCTATACTTCAATTGTTGTATGGTTCGTCGGTGGCCTAACAGTATTGCATCTCTATCTGATCAGTACTAATCAGGTAAAATTTAGGTCATTTTGCTACAATTTTAGATAATTGTTGTAGTTTCTAGTCCTTCTAACTGTAACTGGAGTAATGCACTTGAGTACACTACACAATACTCATAGGTGTAATCTCTTGAACTAGCTGCTCCATATACCATAATGCAGGGACAGGAAAATGTGAGTTTCCTGCCTTGGTTGATTAAGTAGAAACAGCGTGAAAATGTGAGTTTCCTGCCCTGGTGAAAAAGTGGGGCAGAGCCGTACCCACCGTATAAGGACGTGAGTGGATTGTTTGTGATGTCTAGTTGTGTAGGAGTTAATTGCAATGCATATTACTGTTGTATTTTATGTTAATATGCTTGCATAATTTTACTGATGTCAACTACAAATTCTGCAGACAACATACGAAAACTTCAGATACAATTATGACAAGAAGGATAACCCTTACCGAAAGAGCATTACAAAAAACTTTGCCGAAGTGTTCTTCACCAAGATCCCTCCTCCACTGAACGACTTTCGATCACATGTAGGTGAGGGTGCACTGGAAGCTGGGTTCTACACTCCATATATTGGGTTGGACGTGACCAATACAAGGGAAAAGATTGATACAGATATGCGAGAGAAAGAAGTACTCGTAGGGGGGATACAGATTCCAACAGTATTGCAGAATATAGACTATGGTTCCTTTGAAGATGGTTTTTATGACAAGAACAGGAACAATGGCAACAAAACAGTGGCTTTTGCTCCAGCTTGGGCACAAAAAGGAAGTGAAGATGCTGGAACATCTGCAGCAGCTACCACAGCATGCAAGGAAGAAACTAGTGAGGACGATGCTAAGGAAATTACTAATTCAAATACAAGTTCCGCACGGACATCTACAGAAGCCAACACGATATCTGAGGATGAAATAGTTCAGGACGATGCTAAAGAAAGTAACACCCCAGATAGAAGTCCCGCCCAGTCCTTGAAAGACATGAGCTGATAAGTATCGCTCATATATGTTTAGGAATTTGTCTATAGATATGGCCACTGTGAGTTGGCATCATTCTTTACAATGTATAGAAAAGGCAAAGTGCAAGACTATTCAATTACGTCAGCAAAAGATTTAAGGAGTGTAATGAACCGAAGTATTATCAACATTGTTTGTACATTTTTACATTATTAGATGTTCCTAACTCTAAGGCATGTTGACCTTGCATGACAAAAGTTGACATAGCAAGAGAAGAGTTTGAATAGTTCTATTGATGAACTCAAGCAGGTCAGATGATATAATGAAGTGCTCCCCCCACAAAGAAATATAAGAGCATTTAGATCACTAGTGATCTAAACACTCTTATATTTCTTTACAGAGGGAGTACTTCACAAAAATAAATAACAGAAATATATATAATTTAAGGGTAAACAGAAAGGAGCAACCTACCATACAACAATTCAGATTTGTGCAAATTACAACACGAACATGATGGATGCACATAACTTAACTTCAAGAGTACAGCTGAATTTATAATTTAAGGGTAAGCAGACGCCATGGAACAAGGTAGTACAAAGCATCAAGAGAATCAATGCCACTGGTCGTTATTGGGGAGAGTACAGCTGCTTACAGCTATAGCACGCTAAACTATCCAGAACAACTGGAAATTTGTAACTCAAGCAAAGTTGCCCAAAAGCAGTACCACGGGTCGCCCAAGCTCTCAAGGCTGGTAGACATCTGGAAGCTGAAGGCCTACACTGGCAGCAGATTTGTTCAATATCTTCTTCATTTCATCAGATCGATCCACAGCTATATTGTATGAGAATAGCAGTTCCTGGACGATCAAGCATATTTTGCAGTTAGTGGAATACACGGTGCATGAAAAGCCAAGGGTGCTATGACCACTATTACAAGGATGTGATCATGTGAATGACTTGTTCAATCTAAAATAGGTTGTGTTATGGAAATCAGTAATAAAGCGAGCATATTCTGGTATTATAATAGTATCATTTACTTATAACGCAAATTCTATTAGTTAGATATCACCATTCAAACTAGACTGCCAGAGCAATATCGCTCTAAAATGGTGATCTAACGAGGTTGCATCATGGAATTTAGGAATTAGATAAGCTTTGTTGTCTATTCTAATACACTTCGGACGCTAAACTTTTTTGTTGCATGGGCAAAACAATTAGCACATATGAAAAGTATAGAAAGACAGGTCGATCAGCTAAATGCAAATCCAAAATATCTCAGTCTCGACCGCGTGGGCGGTGAGTCGCCGGCAGCAGGCATGGCGGCGGCATCTTCCGGCAGACAGCGGCCACTGGTGGTGGCTGGCTAGAGTCTCGACCGCAGGGCGGTGAGTCGCCAGCAGGAGCTGGTCACGGCGCGGTTCCCCTGCGTCAGATCTGGAGGTGCGTGCTCCCCCCTCTGCAACTTCTCTCCCGCCGCACTTGGCGGCTTGCGATCTCGACTGTCCGCCTTGGTGCATCGGGGACCGAGGGAAACTCTGGTCGGCCCGTCTGTCCCGGCGGTGGCGACGGCCTTGGTCGCCGTTTTCCTCCATGGAGGCACCGTTGAGGTCCCCTCTCCCCACCCCGACCCCACGCCTGGGTGAAAGCCCAAAATCCTCTCGAATTGGGCGGCGGTGGCGCCATGTGCGCCGTGCCCTTTTTGGAGGCGTTGCCTGGGGTGTTCGGGTGCTCGGAAAATAGGAGTTGCAGGTGGAGGGGTTGAGTACTCTGGCTTCGAGTTGGTGTGGAGGAGCTGAGTGGCGAAGGTGTCTGCATGTTTTTAAATAGTGCTCCCCGATGGCGGCTCGTGTCGCCCAATTCCGGTGGTGTGGCGCCCTCAATCCGGGCGGAAGAGGATGGGTTCCCCTTTTCTGGCGGTGGCGGCATGGTGGAAGCCATAGGCACCCGACCTTCAGTTGTGGCCCGACTCAGCCGGCTGCCTTGCTCGCTCTTGCTGATCTTCGTTCTTCTCGGTGATGGCTGCCTCGTTTGATGGCGAGCGCTCCTGGAAGCTCTCCAGCTCCTCTTGGTTGTTCTTAGACAGTGGCGGTGCGGCTAGCAAGGTGTGCTAGATTAAGGGTGGTCGATCTGTGGCTGCGTCAAGGATGGCATCCTGCTAGCTCTCGGGCTCATGGCGCCTTTCGAGCCAAGGCGAGGGGATAGGGTTCCCCTTCAGAATAGAGAAGGAAGATGTTGTGTTCCTCTAGTCGCACAATCTGTTGTCCGGCTGTGATGGTTGGCTGTTCCAAGCTTTGCCGCATCTGCCATTTCTTCTTTGGTGCAATTGTGAGGAGTGCATCTGCATTCAAGCTTTGTTCTTTCTATTCCCTACCCTAGGATGCTTGTAGTGGATCATGTTGTTGTTAGCTTTCCAGTTTGCCCCATTGTATCAGTTTAGCCGATTTGGTTTGTACTTGTAAGAGTGTTGTAATTCCTGGCCGGTTGATGGCTTTGTTAATTCAAAGCCGGGCTCATTTAGAGTCTTTCATCTAAAATAACCCAGTCCCAAATTAGCCACAACAGTAAACTCCCACGAACTACCGGTCTTCATTAGCATTTCGTCGAACACAAGTAAGCACACCTTTCTAACCGGAAGTAACAACAGAAAAAAAAAATGGTCCTACCTTCTGGTGTTGGATGCTGGTGAGATGGTACGCGTAGTCCCCGGCGAGCCGCAGTCTCGCTCTGGCGTCGGCCTCCGTGCCGGCCGGGCTGCGGAACTCGGCGGCCACGAACTCGCGGAAGTGCTTCTTATCGGCGCTCCCGCCGACGTGCTTCTGCACTGCCTTCATGACCCTCCGGTACACGGCTGCGGTGCCCGCCATCGGTTCGTCTCGCTCAAAGCTGGCACGACGCGGCGGCGGCGACTGCGATGCGGGACGGCTGCGGGCCTGCGGCGGCGACGATCTGCTGCCCCTCGCTCTCCCTGATTCCTGTTCGGCTAGGCGGCCGTTTGATCAGAGCATTTGCGGCCCAGATCGAACGAGGAAATGACCCATGGCGTTTTGTCGAAACACCCTCGTAGTTACTCTGAATAATCATTTGGACCCAAGCTTACTTCGGTCGATTTGAGATTTTTTTTTTCGAAACGGCGATAAAAGATTTGTCTAGCTCAATGGAGGCCTAATTTAAAAACTTCAAAATGCAAATCTGAAAAATTATACACATATACCTAATAAATACATAATGTACATGAGTGGAGAGCCCCACAAAAGAGACAAATCTGAGGCTTTTTAGTATATATATTGTTCATTTTCAAAGTCCATGATTTTTTTGTGCAACCGCAGTTCAAGATATTTCATCTTAAAAAATATCACACATACACATTACATCCTTGCATACATGTGTATTTCTTTTCAAAAAAAATTGAAACTAAAAATTTATAAATTTGAAATTTTCAAAATAAAATCCTCCATGGAGCTCGGTCTCCAAAATGGCCTACTCATATCTATATCAATAGCGTTGATCCAATTAATTGCGACCATTAAACCAGGTTAATCCAACAAACTGCTCCAATGTCAAGTGCTCAACATATACACTCACCCTTCAGGATTTCCAGCGATGCGCATTCAATGGAAGGAGACGTTCTCATATGCCAGCTCAGTCTTTCGGATGTTCTGATACGTACTGTTCATTTTCAAAGTCCATGATTTTTTTTGTGCAACCCGCAGTTCAAGATATTTCATCTTAAAAAATATCACACATACACATTACATCCTTTTTTTTGAGCATATACACATTACATCCTTGCATACATGTGTATTTCTTTTCAGAATTTTTTGAAACTAAAATTTTATAAATTTGAAATTTTCAAAATAAAATCCTCCATGGAGCTCGATCTCCAAAATGGCCTACTCACATCTATACCAATCTAAAAAGAGCCAAAGGGGTTGATCCAATAAATTGCGACCATTAAACCAGGTTAATCCAACAAACCAGACTGCTCCAATGTCAAGTGCTCAACATATACACTCACCCTTCAGGATTTCCGGCGATGCGCATTCAGTGGGAGGAGACGTTCTGATATGCCAGCTCAGTCTTTCGAATATGCTCATAAGGATAGGGTGTGCATGTGTGCGTTCATAAGGGTGATGATATGCGTATATATGAGCGCTTGTGTCTGTATTGTGTTTAAAAAAATATTTAATGTGCAATTGATATCATATCGAATACCAATATGGATGCTAAAGCGCTTGCGTCTGTGTTGTGTTAAAAACATATTTAATGTGCAATTGATACCATATCAAATACCATATGGACGCTAATCACATATTAATGTGTAAATAATATACTACGTAATATTACATGCACATAATATATGCCTAATACCAACTATCCTACATAATCTATATGCAATTTATATACTGTCAAATATCAACGTGCATTGCACATACATATTTACTAGTAAAGAGGAAGGGTGACAGAAGTTTTTTAAGGCGAGGTCATTACTCCTCAATAAATGAGACAAAAGCCTACTCTCGCGGCATAATAGAACCCAGGTGCTTCGCGCCGGCGGTCACCCACAACCCAAGCTTCGGCCCTAACATGTGTGAAGATGATGAAAGGTAGTGTAGACTTGTTGCGAAAAACCTGCACGTTCCTTTCGTTCTATAGTGCCCACGCCACAAGCATGAGTGTAGTGGCAATAACTTTCCTCCTGTGACCCTTGGTGAGCACCACGACATTCCACCAAGCATGCACCGAAGGCATACCACCCTGGCATTCCACCAAGCATGCACTGAAGGCATACCCCCCCTGGCATTCCACCAAGCATGCACCGAAGGCATACCACCCCAATGGTCAAGACGCAACTCTGAGGTGCCAAGCCACTCCTTTACGGCCTCCCACACCCGTAAGGAGTATCTACACTTGAAGAGAAGGTGTGTCGCAGACTCCGGCTCCCTATGGCACAACTGGCAAAGGCCACGGCTAGGCAAAAGTACACGATAACCCACAAGTATAGGGGATCGCAACAGTTTTCGATGGTAGAGTATTCAACCCAAATTTATTGATTCGACACAAGGGGAGCCAAAGAATATTCTCAAGTATTAACAGTTGAGTTGTCAATTCAACCGCACCTGAAAGACTTAATATCTGCAGCAAACTATTTAGTAGCAAAGTAATATGGAAGTAACGTTAACGGTGGCAAAAGTAACAGTAGTAGTTTTTGTAGTAATCGTAACAGTGGCAATGGAAAAGTAACTAAGCAAAGATCAATATGTGAAAAGCTCGTAGGCAATGGATCAGTGATGGATAATTATGTCGGATGTGATTCCTCATGCAACAGTTATAACATAGAGTGACACAGAACTAGCTCCAGTTCATCAATGTAATATAGGCATGTATTTCGAATATAGTCATACGTGCTTATGAAAAAGAACTTGCATGCCATTTTTTTGTCCTCCCCTCCCGTGCAGCGGGGTCCTATTGAAAACTAAGGGATATTAAGGCCTCCTTTTAATAGAGTACCGGAACTGTAACGCCCACAATGCGGCTATATCTCTCACGTGTCGGGGCACGACTTAGAGGCATAGCCGCATGGTAGGCTTGTCGCAAGAGGGGTAATCTTCACACATCCCATGTACTGAATAAGAAAGGAATAAAGAGTTGGCTTACAATCGCAACTTCACACAAATACAAGTTAAACATACATCATCCAAATTACAAACAAGGTCCGACTACGGAACCAAAATAAAGGAAGACAACCCCAAATGCTAGATCCCCGATCATCCCAACTGGGCTCCACTACTGATCAACCGGAAAAGACATAGAACATCGATCAAGATCTTCATCGAGCGGCCACTTGAGCTCGGTTGCGTCACCTGCACTGATATCATCGGCACCTGCAACTGTTTGGAAGTATCTGTGAGCCACGAGGACTCAGCAAAGACTATTTAAGCTTATGGGTAGGAAAGGGTAGTGAGGTGGAGCTGCAGCAAGCACAAAGCATATATGGTGGCTAACTTACGCAAATAAGAGCGAGAAGAGAAGCAACGCAATGGTCGTGAACTAGAAGTGATCAAGAAGTGATCCTGAAACTACTTACGCACAACCATAACACAAGAACCGTGTTCACTTCCCGGACTCCGGCGAGAAGAGACCATCACGGCTACACACGTGGTTGATTCATTTTAATTAAGTTAAGTGTCAAGTTCTCTACAACCGGATATTAACAAATTCCCATCTGCCACATAACCGCGGGCACGGCTCTCGAAAGTTTTATACCCTGCAGGGGTGTTCCAACTTAGCCCATCACAAGCTCTCACAGTCAACGAAGGATATTCCTTCTCCCGGGAAGACCCGATCAGTCTCGGAATCCTGGTTACAAGACATTTTGACAATGGTAAAACAAGACCAGCAAAGCCACCCGATGTGCTGACAATCCCGATAGAAGTCGCACGTATCTCGTTCTCAGGGCAACACTGGATGATACTAGCTACGAGTAAAACCAACCCTCAAGTTTCCTCGAGGTGGCCCCGCAGGCAGCTCGGTTCGGACCCACACTTAGAGAAGCACTGGCCCGAGGGAGGGGTTAAAATAAAGATGACCCTCGGGAGCGTGACTCCCAAGGGAAAAAGGCTTAGGTGGCAAATGTTAAAACCAAAGTTGGGCCTTGCTGGAGGAGTTTTATTCAAAGCAAACTGTCAAGGGGTTCCCATAACACCCAACCGCGTAAGGAATGCAAAATCAAGGAACATAACACCGGTATGACGGAAACTAGGGCGGCAAGGGTGGAACAAAACACCAGGCATAAGGCCGAGCCTTCCACCCTTTACCAAGTATATAGATGCATTAATTAAAATAAGAGATATTGTGATATCCCAACATATCCATGTTCCAACATGGAACAAACTTCATCTTCACCTGCAACTAGCAACGCTATAAGAGGGGCTGAGCAAAAAGCGGTAGTATAGCCAAACAACGGTTTGCTAGGAAGGTGGGTTAAAGGCTTGACATGGCAATATGGGAGGCATGATATAACAAGTGGTAGGTAGCGCGACATAGCGATAGAGCAAACAACTAGCAAGTAAAGATAGAAGTGATTTCGAGGGTATGGTCATCTTGCCTGAAATCCCGCAAGGAAGAAGAACGAGCCCATGAAGAAGACGAACCAACGTTGTCGAACGAATCCTCACAACTCCGGACCGAAACCGAAGCTAACGAGAGAAGCAACCCGGAAAGAAGCAAGCAACACAGTAAACAACCATCACATAAACATGGCATGATGCACAACCCAGTATGATGCATGTCCGGTTTAATGAGGCATGGCATGGAAAAATGCACAAACAATCCTACAAATTAAGTGGAGCTCAATATGCAACGGAACACCACATGACTTATTTAGTTCTCTCCCGTTTATGTACTCAACAATATTAAATGTTGGTTAGCATGGCAAGAGGTGAAGCATATGAAAACTACCTATCTAGGCAAGTTTAAATGAGGCCGGAAACAACGAACAACAATTCCGGTAAATCCCCATATGCATATTTCAAAGTTGGTACTGTTCTGCCCTATGCACAATTTTAGAGTTATTAAACATGCAAAGTAATGCCACCATGTTAAACTATGCATTTTTCTACCCCATTTACATATAAAGTTTATTAAATTTGGAGCTACGGTTATTTAGTCATGAAATGAATTATTTTAACATGGCATCTAAGAAAATTAAAGCAAACATCATTTTAAACATTTCAAACATGGATGAAAGTGGCATATTATGAAACTAGATGAAATTATAGTAATGTTTCATATATAAAACATTTTAATCCGATGCACCATTTGTGAGCTATTAAATGCATGATCTAGGGGGACTATTCTGTAAAAC